ACCTTTTCCGGCGTCTAGAGGCTGCCTGAACTCCTGGCCCGTGGCCTCTTCCTCTGCCTTCAAAGCCATCAGCGTAGCACCTTAAAAGTCTCTCACCGACTCTAACCTTTCTGTCTTTTACTTGTAAGGATCTTTGTGAATACACTGGGCTCACCTATATCATCCAGGATAATCTTCATGTTAAGCTCTTGATTTAATGATCTGCAAAGTCCTGTTTCCACGTGAGGTGATATATTCACAGGTTCCAGGGATTAGGATGTGGACATCTTTGGGGTGGGATGGGGAGCATTCTGCTGCCTACCACAAACCCCACAGTCTAGTTATTTTCCTCTTCTAACTTCACACACTTTCACTGATGATCTCTCTGGGGGATGATACATTTTTATCTCCAACTCCAGCTGTGGTTCTTCATTGGACATTTTCCCTTTGATGTCCCACGGGCCTTGGAACCCATGCTGTTTCTCACTTTTAGGTCTTCGCACACTTTGCAATCTTGGTTTGAACACCTTTTTCTCTTTTTCTCAAATCACACTACCGTATTTCCCTGAAAATAAGATCTAGCCCAGCAGTTCTCAACCTGTGGGTCGCGACCCCTTTGGGGGTCGAACGACCTTTTCACAGGGGTCACCTAAGACCATCGGAAAACAAAAAGATATTCACATTACGATTCATAACAGTAGCAAAATTACAGTTATAGAGTAGCAACGAAAATAATTTTATGGTTGGGGGTCACCACAACATGAGGAACTGTATTAAGGGGTCGCGGCATTAGGAAGGTTGAGAACCGCTGACTAGCCAGAGAAGAAGCCCTAGCAGGATTCCTCCAGGATATGGAGGGCATGCACCCCTCACATGAGGGTTTTATGACCTGTTTCAGGGAGAAGGGTGCCTTTTCCACAAACTCCTTCAGCTTAAACTATTCAGCATGCCAAGGTGCCATATTTTGGCACCTAAAATCATGCGAGGGCTAGGTCTTATTTTCGGGGAAACAGTATCTCTTTTGTCCTTCAAGATTCAAGGCATTCTCTTCTTCATGAAGTTTATTTTTTTGAGATATAATTGACATATAACATTGTGTAAGTTTAATGTGTACCACCCGTTGATTTGATACATTTGAATATTGCAATGAGTGTGGCATTTAGCTAACACCTCTATCATGTCACATAATTAGCACTTTTTTGTTTTTGTGGTAAGAACAATTAAGATCTAGTCTCTTAGCAATTCTGAAGTTTATAATACAGTATTGTTAACTATAATTACTATAGTAGTAATCTCCCCAATTCTTCCTCCTTCTGCCCCCAGCCTCTACATTACAGAAGTCATCTTTCTCCATCTACTTGGGAGTACTAATAAGCAATCCAAAGTTCAAATCCCAGAAAGTGAGGGCTAGAAAATGTATCAATAGTTTCTTTTTCTGTCTGCTAGAAGTCCATCTCCTCATGTCTCATTTCTTGTGTGAACTCTCAATTCTATCTTGATGACTGAAATGATAACCTACCACTTTGAGGGGACACATTGACCTTTCGGACAGCTCACATGGGTAAGTGATTCACAATTTAGCCACCAGTGCCAATAGTCATTCTAGGGATATGCACTTCTATAGATTACAAAGGTGGGATGGGGTGGTGCACGTTTCACTGAAGTCACATGATGATTACTGTCTTACTATCATAAGAGATACGGCAAATGGGCTACCGATTTACACACTACTTAACAAAGTAGAGATGGGAAAACAGAAAAGACAAATCAACCAACCTATTCTATGTCCATGTCAACTACATGAAATACTACATTAATATGTATTTTATGCCTTGGTCAACATACTTGCTGAAAGTGAAGTTGCCCCTTTCAAAGTCTTAACCACTTGTGTGACATACACAAGAAAAAAAAATAATTTAAAAGTGCCCAAATGTAATAAATTGATAAGGATCATTTTGAACTGCTAGATATTGAATAATCACATGAACTTTTAAATTTTTGAGTTTCCAGCTGTAAGAGTAGGCAATGTCTTTTCTCTTAAATTCTAATTATTTCCAGAGTCTAATGCCCAATAAAAATGTTATTAATAAAGGTAACTAACATTTGAAGTTTTATTCAACATTAGGAAAATTTAATGAACAATGAAAGCAATGTTTTATTGCAGTGTTCTGTACACCTGAAACTAACAATAAAATTAAAAAAAAAAGGCAATGTTTTACTTTCTTACAAAGAGGGTGCTGCAAGCCAGGGTCACATATTTCCAGCCTATGATATCAGTGGCTATGCTAAATAACAATTTGAAGAAAACTCCAAATTCAGGGGTATACATTGAGGAGCACAGCAAATCATGTAGGTTTAATAATTTAATCCATACCCTAGCAAAATGTCAAGAAGTTACAATTGGGTGGATTGGGCGTTCTCTCTGGTAAAGAAAATCCCATCCCATCTTTGTTATCAATATTTTATTTTCTTTGTCGTAGGTTAGGGTTTGTAGATCATGTCGTAGGTTAGGGTTTATAGATCAATCATCTTGATTTTACTATGAAATTACATTCTCTTTGCTTGAATTCCTCTGAGTTATGCACAAGCCTTCCTGTTTTGAATCAACTTTTTTTTTTCTGCTATGGTTTCAATGTATGCTGAAGGTAAGTAAAATTATGAAAGCCTTTCAGTCCTTAATTCTGTCAGGATAGCGATGTCAGAGAGATACAAATTATATATTGGGTCGTCGGGAAAGTCATGACGTATTTTTCTATGTTTTTCAATGCAAAAATGCGTCATGACTTTCCCAATGACCCAATAGATAGTGATAGAAAACTTGAGTTTAGCTTTATAGGAGGCTTTCCTTTCCTTCCTTTCCCCCTTATTTTTATATAGTGGTTGAGTGTATGATAGAGGGATACAAGTAAGGCAGTCCTATAAACTCATCTGTTGATAGTTCATATGAAGACTTTTGACTAGAAAACTTCCATTATAGTATCGAAATAGAAAACAAATTTTAAATGGTATAACTGCTTTCTGTTTTAAGATCGCCATATATATATATATATATATACACAAGATCTTCCTCTGATAGTAGTTGTATAGACTCAAGCAAGGGCTTTCAGGCCAGAAAAATTAAAGCAAGTTCACTTTAGTTTTAACTCAATCCAAATAGTATGTCTTGTGTACCTACAATATTCAAAGTACTGTGCCATGAAGGAGCTTAATAGTTGCTAGATAGTATACCCTGAAGCACTTTCATGGTTCTATTCTTTTTACATAAACAATAATACACAGCTATTGTATTTTAGCTGTGGGTTGGCTAAAAGTAGAATCCCCTCTACTTCCTTATACTTCTTTCTCCAGTGAACCTCGGTTTTTGCTGTTTTACTATTGGGTTGTCGGAAGAGTCATGACGTATTTTTTTCTGTTTTTCATTGCAAAAATGCGTCATGACTTTTCTGACAACCCAATATAACCAGGGGCAAAATAAAGCAGAATGTTGAATAATTCTGAAAAATCGTAAAATATAGTTGACAATTTTGGGGGAAATATTTGTATAATTGTCTTATGTCCCCTTTTGTTTTGCCAGAACGGTGTTAACAGTAAGTTGGCAAATTCATGACAGACACAAACCTTAGCCCTAGATCATTTATACTGAGTAATTATGACACACTGTGTTTAGGGCATTTTCACTACCATCAAATGCTTCTTTATAATGGAGGATATTTATTTATTTAACAAATGCTTTTCTAGCACTTATAAACCAGATATATTAACATAGTCAAGGTTAGAGTACTTGCTCAAATCAGAGGAAGCAAACATGCTATTACAATAGAAGCCTTCCATTGTTGACTGCCTCCCTATCTCAATTGTGCCTCCCTACCTCCTTCCCTACAGGTGTGTTAAAGGTCAAGTGAAAGTTGTCTGTCTCTGGCAGGCACACCACACTCCTCCTTATTCCAGACTTATTCATTTAGCCATGTGAAATATAAAACTGGGGTGTTTAATTTTTTTTCCCAGGGATTATAGGAAGCCACTGATGTTGCCTCTTACCCTGGCAATGCACGAGCCACCAATTCAGACCACGAGAAAAATGTCTGCCTCATCTTTGCAGTATTTAAACCCACTTATGGGAACAAATCTTTAACAAACATTTGCAACCACATGAGATTTGGTGCAGCTGAATTCACTTAGTAGTTTAAAAAGGTAACTCTTTTCTAAAGAAGACACTCTGCTTGTCTTTTCTCGCGTTGCCTCCTTCTTCCCAAATATCCATGTGATAGTTAAAATTCACTTAACTTTTCAAGCCCATTGCAAATAATCCTTTCTCTAGGAAGCTATTTCATCTCTCAAACCGATGGAAAGTAATTTTTTTTTTCTTCTGCCTCCTCCATTGTACTTCCTAATTTTTGTTTGACTCCCAGTTTTTGCTTCACTTTCATTTTAGAGAACTATGAGTGTTTAAACATTACTTTTTAAAAGGGCTTATAACTTCAAAGAGTGCCATGAAGGGTAAAAAAACCTGTAAAAAAAACTGTTCTCTACATTTGTTTGGTTTTCACTAATGCGTCAGGAAGAATGCTTTACTGTTAATTGTGGGGGTGGAGGGGAAGGACACAGATTATGATGATCTGTGCTGGTTTCAATCCTAATTTATCTTTTAAACTAATCTGAGAATGAGTTGAACCTAACTTTCACATTGGAAATTCTCGAGAGGGAAAAAACCCTTCGGAGACCTACAGGCAAAATTAACCCCGCCTCCACGCTATTTGCAGCAGCTGTCTCAGGAATCCGCCCTCCCTTAAAATGTGGGAGAGGTCTGGTGGGGCGGCAGCTGCAAAGCAAGGAATCTTTCCCATTCCTCGTGGACAGGATCCCCCCGCCCACCCCCTTTGAAACGGTGGCAGCTGTCGGGGCATCCCAGTGGAAATCTCATTTCTGAGTCTTCGCTGAACGCGGCGGGCGGGCAGCAGCTGAAAGCTGTCGTCGGTGGGGACTCTGCTCCTTGGACAAGGACAGCAGCCTCGCTGGCTCCAGCGCTGCCACCTCTCAGGCTCGTAGCGGTCCCTCAGGTGTCCTTCTCCAAGCCCAAGAAGACACCTTGGCAACGTGGGGCGGGTCCCCTCCAAGCCAGGGGACCCTCGGGGAACCTAACAGAAGGAGCATCGGCATCACCGCCTCAGCCAGCACTTGCCAAAGCACCTTCCCAGGTCGGGGGTGGGAGGCAAGGTCTTTCCTCGCCGGGCCGGGGACACACCTGGTGCTACTTGAGCAGCGCGCCCACCTGGGTGCCCGCCCTCACACGCGGTCCTGCCAGCACGTCAGCGCCCGAGCCCTGCCGGGACCCCCTAGGCCGCCCGCGCGTCCCCACCCCGCCGCGCGGTGGCCTCCGCCTTCGCTCGCGCAGGCGCACGCCGCGCCTGGCAGCCCTTGGCGCTGTCATGGCGGCCGGGAGCAGCTTCAGTGGGCGCTGGGACAGCCGTGCGATCCGCGGCGGGGCGAGCTGTGCCAGTAGCATCCTCATCACCGCCAGCAGCCTCAGCCGCGGCGTCCGTGGCGCCGGCAGCGGCTGTTTTTGCAAAGGTTGAGCGCAGGGGTGGGGCGGACCAGGAAGCCATAGAGTTCTGTGCAGCCGCGGACTCCCGGGGAGCCGACTAGGGAAACTTGGAGGCTGCGACCAGGTGCACTGACCTCTCTCTCCTCCCTCCTCTCCTCGCCATCTCCACCGGGCATCCCCTCCTTTCTGGCCACAACACACCTGCCCTGCTCTCCCCGTGGAACCTCAGGTGCTTGAGAGGTGATCCACTCCTCCCCCTGGGCCGAGCGTTGAGAATAATCACCGCCCCCTTCCCCCGCCTTTTCCTGCCCTGGATCTCCGCCGCCACCTCCGGCTCGCGGCTCCCTGGCGGGGGGTGAGGACGGGTCCGGAGGCTCAGGGTGAGGAGTAACTTTTTACCTCTGCGTGGTAGCTTGGGGCCCCCCCTTTCCTCCGATCCCTCCTTTCCCAGCGTCAGTTTCTCTTTGCGTGCACCTGTGAGGAGAGGTTGCCCAGCGCCTAGAACCTGCGGGAGTGGGGGAGGAGTGAACCTGCTCGGGGGCCTCCTGAACCCGCCTTCCCTCGGAACCCAGCTCCTCCAGCCGGGGAGAAGCGGGGGGCTGGTAGTGGGGGGCCCTTTAGCAACTTATTTGATGGACGATAACTATCCCCTTCTCCCCCCAAAACACCCTAAAACAAAACCTAGCCTATTTAACGTTTATCTAATCTTCCAATAGGGTTTGGCGTTGTTGTCAGCCTCGGGGAGAGAGATTGGACAAATATTCTCCAAGAGGAGGAGGGCGACGCCAAGGACTTTCCACTTCAACTGCTTTTGGGGGTTCTCCACAACTTGGGAGAGGGACCCTTTTCGTTTTGCGTTGCGTGTGCTTATTACCAGTGCAGCGATTGCTGTATCCAGAGTGACTCCGAGTTGCTCGAGAACTAGCGATGGCTAGTGAAGACTACGTCCCTTCCCCGCCACCAACAGGTGATGACGGGGGAGGTGGAGGGAAAGGAGAAGAAACCTCTGCCGAAGAGGGTGCATTGTCCCTGAAACCAGGGCTCCCCATTAGGGGCATCAGAATGAAATTTGCCGTGTTGACGGGGCTGGTTGAAGTTGGAGAAGTATCCAATAGGGATATTGTAGAAACTGTCTTTAACCTGGTAAGTAGATAACTATTTTATAAGCATATAGTCTTATCAATGGGTTGAGGAACAAGACGTTAAAGGGGGAGCCATGTGCTTTACTCAGACTAACGATGGCTTTTTCCATGGGTAGAAACAGAAAATTCTGACCTAAATGCAACAATTTGTTGTATTTTTTAATTTAAGGGGAATTATGTAAACTAACATGTTCCATCTTTTCTAAAAGTGAGCAGATCACTTTCGTGCTAAGAAAATAATTGTTGCTATGGATGCATTTTAGGGGGTTCCAAGTGGAGTTTTATTCTATACATTTTTTTCCCCTTGGGATGTATAAGTAAGTTTGCATTTCTCTTTGACATTTTAAATAAGTTCTGGTGACCATATTTTTGGACTTGAGAAATACTGTAAATGGTAACCCTACCTACTCTTTTGAGTCTGCCTAAATTAAGTTTGCCATAATTTTTGAACACGAAAGTTTTGTTCATAGGACTGATGAAAGATTAATTTGCTGCAAAGTTAGCGGTTATTTTAAATTTTGACTAGTTTTATTTTTAGGTGTAACCAACAAATATTAAATTTTGGGCTAAATTTAGGGTTAAATCTTGCAAAAATTGAATGACAATTTGAAAAGAGGATTGTGACAGGTATAGTATAATCTTTATTTCTTCTGTGAATTCATGTCTAGCAAGCAGTAAAGCATATCTGGTCATTAGAAGTTGCTGGTTATACTAGGAGCTACAAATGCTATTTTTAAAAGATACACAATACTTTCCTTTCCCGCTATTCCATTCTTAGAAATGATTATCATTTCTAATGAGGGCTTTTTAGATTTGTTTATTCCAACCTCTGTTGCCCATGAATTTAAAGAATACAAAGTAAATTTGGCTTTAAAATACTTTCCCCTCTACCACCTACACACCTGTTAGAAGGTGACAGATGAGAACAAAGGTGAATCTGCGATAGTTGTAATAATTTGTTGACCACCTTTCCCTGTTGCTTCTTATGTTTTCAAGGTTAGGCTCATTTTATTTCAGGGCAGTTAATTATTTCTTTCACTAGACCTTTTCTAATAGTCTGGTCACCTACATACAATACACAGCTTCTAGAATGAGAAAGTAGCTAGATGAAATTCACTTACTTTTGGAATATGAAGACTTAGAATAAGAGGGTATCTCTCTGCTAGTTTGTTTTGTTAGGAGATTATGTATAAATACCTATAGACATACATACACATATATTTTTAACTATATGTTATGGAAATATTCAAATATGCACAAAAATAAACGAGTATACGGAACACTGGTATCTATCACCCAGTTTCAACAATTGTCCACATTTTGGATATCTTGTGTGTCTGGGGACTTTAAAAGTTTGTGAGTCTCAAGGAGATAAATGGTAAATGGATGTATTCCTTTATCTCAACTTAGACTTGAAAACTTTCCTTTTCGATTTCTTTTTTCTTTTTCTAAGCCTCATGTACCTTGGATGATAAACATAAATCTGTGGTAGTGATAGAGTCCATGATTGTTTTGTGTGTGAAATACATTTTTTTCTGGCAGAAGGAGGATTCAAACTCCTCTGTTCTTCAGAATGTGTCCTGTGGATGACCAAATATGAGTCACTTACATTTTATCATTAAGGAAAATCCAGATTCTGTGGTAATAGCTTGCTTTTATGCTGCCCAGAATTGTAGACCTGATAGAGATTTTAAGGTTATTGGTTAAATCCCTCACAGCTGCTTTTCAGGGTAGTATTAATAGATGTTTGGGTAGAAGGAGAGAGAAAATCTGTTTAATTACACCTCCTCATCACCATCCTTCTTTCATGTAGAGCAGAGAAAGTTGCAGAGGATTAGATTCATTTCTTTCTTTTTATCCTCCTTTACATACTTTTCATGCTCTTTCGTGGATATCTCGGGTCTTTAGAAAATCTTGGGAACTGAAATGTTGGGAATCTTGGTAAGCGAGTCTCTCTCGATGCTGTTAATGCAGCTGCACCTAAATATTTCCTAATTGATAGTTGTCAGCCCTAGCCTTTAATCTACTCAAGGAAGGGAATTGCATTAATAATAATAGTAAGTGAAATAAAGAAGTTACTATTTACTGTGTGAATGGGTCAGGTGTCTTCCATGTGTTTCTTAATTCTTTCCTCATATACAGGCACACCTTGTGTTATTGTGCTTTGCTTTATTGCGCTTCACAGGTGTTGCTTTTTTGTTTTTTACAAATTGAAGGTAAGACCCTCCACCTGCAAAAAGATTACAGCCAACTTGATTGCAGTAGTCTGGAGCCAAACCCGCAATGTGTCCTGGGTATGCCTGTATCTCACTTTATAGATAAGGAAACACACTGAAAGGTTAAATAGATTGTCTACAATTTGATGATTCTGAGACTGGCAACCTTTCCAGGAATATATCTGCCTCTTGAGTTGATGTAGAATCGTTTGCTCCCCTAAGCAAGTATTTATAGCTTAGATATAACTTCCCCCAATGTCAGCACACAAAAATCATTGGTCCTGCTAAATGTTAATGGTGAAATCTCCGTGAGTACATTTCATTGCTTATTTAACTTTCAAATAGCTTTGAAAAAACTGCTTAAAAAAGACCTTAAAATGTAAAAAAAACCCCCAAAAAACAACAGCAAAAATTTGGTCCTTCAGTTGTTTTTTTTCGCTCAGAATGTGAATGCAGAAAGTTAATCATGAACTTTTTTTACAGTCAGTATATTGGAATGAAATTTCTAACATTGTAAAAAATGGGATGCAGGCAAAAGAATAACATGACTAATAATGAAATATAACAATATAAGCCCTGTGAACCTTCCGTCTAACTTAACCAGTATATTACCAGTATCACTGAATCCCGATTCCTCATGCATGCTCCTCTTGCATCCTATCTGCACTGGAGTTTTCATTAGTAAGTTCAAACATTTTCAGTTATCATAACCTTTTCCGATGTTTCAGGCATTTTATTAGAATAGATAATGTTCTACTGATTCTTTTTTTTACTGATGACATGTTACCTATTTTAAATAATAAAGCTTGTACTGTTAAAAATTAAACGACCTCTCATTCCCCAGAATCGTCCAAATTAGTGGTCGACCCATATAACTTCAGAGGCCTTTCTTTACAAAGTTCTGCCTCCCAACTTTGCTAATGTAGCTTGACCTTATAAATTCCTTTGAAATTGACCACCCTTGTAATTTGTTTTGCAAATCTGTTTTATAGGTAAGGTTTGATTAATAGTTCACCTGTGTATTCAAGTGTTTCAAACGTCTGGTCAACTTTTACATTTTTCTAGTTGCAATTTAAAACCATTTTATTTTGTCTCCATCTGTATGCTAAAGTTATTTGTCAAACTTTTGGACCCAGAATAATTAACATATTGGCATGTTTTCAGGAACTTGATGTGGAGTTTAAGGCTTCTTCCATCAGGTATTTAAAGGTATTCAATGCTATTTAATTCAAAGAGTGTTTCTCATGATCTGATGACTAATACATGTTTTCATGAAAATTTTTTTTTGCTAAAAAGTATCAGATTTTAATTAAAATGTTAAAGCTTAAAAGATGGAATATAATTTTTAATTACAGTAGTCCCCCCTTATCCACAGTTGTGCTTTCTGCAGTTTCAGTTCTCTGCAGCTAATTGTGGTGCCAAAATAATAAATGGAAAATTCCAGAAATAAACAATTCATAAGTTTTAAGCCCCCCATTGTTAGTCACTTAGTAGCTATCTGTTATTAGTCAGAATATTGCAATGCTTCTGTTCAAGTAACCCTTATTTTACTTAATAATGACCCCAAAGTGCAACAATAGTTTAAAAAAAAAGTATTCTACGAAAAACATAGTATTTATAGGGTTTGGTACTATCCTTGGTTTCATTCTTCCACTGGGGGTCTTGGGACATATTCCCTGTGGATAAGGTGGGACTACTGTACTGATTACATGGCATTTGATATAGGTCCTGCTAAATATTAAGATGCAACATTTTAATATCTATAGGAGTTGAGCATATTGCACAAAGACTCCGTTTCTGTTGACTGTGTGCAGAGGGTGTACTTGTAGACTTAAAGTAGCAGCTGCTATTCCAATCTAGCTGATTGTTGTCCTACAGTAACATGGGCGTAATGGTATAATATCTTGATTTTTCAGGAAGAATTGGAAATCTAGATCTTAGAAAATAGCATTTTAAAATGTCAAATTAAAATATTAAAAAATACTGTGTGGGACATAAAATCAAAGGTAGTTACTTTTCAAGTTTTTATATAAACCTTAATTAAGAAAATTATTGAACATGTTTTTATTCTGATATATGTATCTAGAATTATTTCCTCCTTAATACCTACCATCATAAGTTTAAGGGTTAAGAGTAACCCATTCTAGAAATACACTTGTTAATGGGCTTGCCTCCATATCAATTTGTACTTCAAGTTATAAGTAGTAGAAAACTTGAACTAATTTTAAACACAGTGAAAAGGATTTATAGACTCATTTATCTGGATGTCCAAAGGTAGGGCAAGACTTAGAGTAAGACAATAATATTAAAGACCTGTTTCTTTCCATTTGTTTTGCTTCCTGTGACGTCAGCTTCAATCTGTTGCTGTTCCTCATGGTTGTAGGATGGCTGCCAATGGCAGTTGGGGCCGAAAGTATTTTTGTTCACACCTCTTGGGAGAGAGCGCCTCTCTGTACTAAAATTCCAAAGAAGAGTCCTGATTGGACCACTGAACTAATCAATGACTGTAGACATTGAAAAACACTGACTGGTTTTAGCAAACCAGGGCCAACTGCTATCCCTAAGGATGGAGTCAGTTTTCTCTGAACTACCTGGGCTATCTGGGGTGGGGTACATACACAAATAAAAATCTGGGTAAAACATTGAAAGGGTAGGTGGATGCTGGATAGGCAACCAGTGATGTCCACTGTTCTCCTTTCCAAATGCATAATAATGTAATAATAATATTAAAGATATTTATGTAAAGAGGAAAAAATATCATTCATCATCCCAACACCATGTTATG